AGTGAACCTTAGTTTTCCTAGTATAGTACTCTTATTCAGATAGTTTAATTCCTATTTTCACATGTAGTGTAGTGTAATTTCTGCAAATGTTTCAGTTTTAATTCTTCAGCTGTTACAAAACCTCTATGAAGAAAAAAAAAGGCAGCAAGTATATCAGTAATGCTTGATAAACATTTTGCTTGACTTTTAAAATCTTTTACTTCATGTGTTTTTTTTTTTTTTGACTACTTTAGTAGTTAATCTAAACTCTCTCTAACTGATCTTTTAAATTTTATTTTCCAATTTTTGTTTTGATTTTTGTGTTTAATATTGTATTTTATATAAAATTTTTAATAATTGTTTAACAAATGTTTTTCTAGATTTGATTATGTCATTTTCCACGTCTTTGCTCTGCCCAAGTGAATATAAATATAAAAATTATGATTTTAGACAACTTACTGATCTGATTTGCAAATAAATTAATTTCCCATTGACTGTTAACTTTAATATGTGTGGTTTTGATATATGCAATACACATGTAAATCCAATTACCCACACATATCAAGGGTTACCTATAATAAGATATTTCAAATTTCTACTAATTTTTAATTAGACATATCTTGCTTTAAGATGCTTTTCATTTACAGAAAAACACTGGTTATTGTAGTTTTGTTTAATGCTGTTACTGATTTGATACTAAAATCCTACTTATACTACCAAAAAATTGAGTTATTGTGGTTTTTTGCACCAAATGAATTAGCTTTACAATGTTAAATAACACTTTTTATATTAGTGTTAAAAAAAAATTATAAACACAAAGAAAATATTTTTGCTATATAGCAGGGCTTCTTAAACTTGCTTTATTCACGACCCCATTTATGATTGTAATTTTTTTCACGACCCAAAAAATATAAAATAAATATACAGTAGAGCGTCGTTTATCCGAAAGCCGGTTATCAGAAACGTTGGTTAACCGAAAGCATTTCAGTCAGCAAATTTAAATTTTTGCTAGTGCTGTGGCGCTGCAATCTTTGGCTATATCTTGGGCTACTCCAATATTTTTTTTGTTCATGTGTGTGTTTTAGCTGGCAGCCCTGCCATTTTTGTGTGGTGTTTTTCTGAGGACTGTGTGTCATGCTGAATCGAATGTTTTTGATATTAGATCAACTTCTAAAGTATATATTTTTTGGTTTTTATATTTCTCAATATATTTATTTCGTTTGTAAAAAATAAAAACAATTTTTAACGATACAATAGCCACGATTATTATTTTAAAAAGTTTACGTTAGGCTTAACATTGACAAAAATTCAACGCGAAGTGACACGCAACGAAGAAAAATTTCAACACAGGATAGGTTAATATATTTTTTCATACATAATCGATTATCCGAAAAATAAGTTATCCGAACAACCCTAGTCCCCAATTGATTCGGATAAACGACGCTCTACTGTATATACAAATTTGCAAAAACAATAATGGTGTACTACCACAGTTTACTCTTGTGTTACAATGGAATAGAGACAACTAAATACACTGAAAAGCGAGAACACTACACTAGTTCACACTACAATCAGTGTTGCTGAATCATTGTCTCGCTGCACCAGAAGTGACACAAAGTGCAACTCACGAAACCTATGACACAAAGCATGCCATTTTCAAACTCTCACAAATTATTTTCAATATTTTGCATTAAAATCTCGCGACCCCAAGATTTTGCTAGGCGACCCAAATGGGGTCGCGACCCATAGTTTAAGAAGCCCTGCTATATAGCAATCTCATTTTCATATTATATACTTCTATTTGAATTTTATTCCACATGATATAAATATATATGTATGTATAATTTTCTTTGAATCTTTGACAAACTTGTTCTCCATTGCTGTAAACTTAGAATGCTGAAGTTTAGTCACACAGTTAATGTTAATAAATTAATTATCAACACAAATAAGTCTGTTCAGCTTAGATCTTATATTTATTCATTAGTGTCTACTAATTAAAAAGTGTTAATGACATATCAAGAATTTTTTTGGTCTGTTTATATTGATAGTAAAAGTGACTAAAGTCTATACTTTTAATAGTTAAAAAATATTAAAAAAAGAGAAATTTTCTTTAATACAATACTCTATGAATAAGTTAAAATTGGATAAAAATCATTATTAAAAATATGTATATGTTCTAATGTTTAAAAATTATTTTTTCAATCATGTTGTGAATCTTTTATATGGCTATATCAACCTATGAAAAATCATTAATGACCCTAACAGATATTAACATTTCACAGGCTCATTTTTGTTGTAAAACATTCTAGATGCTGGACTTACAACATGTAGAGTTAAATCTGTGACGGCAATATAATTTAAAGAATTTCAATTTCCCTTAAATCCATTTTCTTAACACTATTCGTTATCTGTAAATCTTTGAAAAACTTTAAATATTTGTAAAAATCTTTTTATTAGCTTTTTAGCACAGTAATAATTAAGACTAAATAAAGAAAAAAAAAGGTATTAAAAAGTGTTTGTTAAAATATGCACTTATTTTTTCATCTTCTGTTTAAATGTTAATTAAAAATAAATGTTTCAAATCTAATTCTTATGAAGTTATCAAAAGAATTCAGTGTAAATAATTTTAAAAGCAAATAAAAATTACAAAATTAATACTGAACATTCATTTATTTTTAACCTAAATATTCTAATAAAATTAAGTATTATTAAGTTGAACTAAAAATAAATGTGCAAACAAAAAATGTATATCTTTAAAAGTTCCTATATTAAATATTAAAAAATATTTTAGATATATACATTTTCATTACTTTGACAACATTCACATTTTTTTTCCTATCAATTTTAAATTATTTTGCTTATTTTATTTTACTTTTTTATTTAATTTATTTACTATTTATCATAATAAAAATCTTTAATGAAAATATCTAATATATTTACTTTCAATTGTTTATAAATTATTAATTTTTTTTAAAGATTTGTACATCTTTTTGAAAGCCATCCACTTCTTGTTATATATCAAACATTTCTAGTAGATATTACTTTGGAAAAGTTTTGTACTAAACAAAACTCTCCATATATTAATTCTATTCTTTAAGTAGTTCTGGTATTTCATGTGATGGAATGCAAATACAAATATAAACAGTATAAATATTTTTGATTCAATTAGAAAGTGGAATGTCAACTTTAATAGTTGGAATAACTCATGTTTGACTTTAATAAAAACAATAATAATATAAGCATATATAAAATAATAATCTTATATACAATTAAATCTTAGTAATTAAGAAAAACTAATATTACCTACAGACCAATAAAAATAACTACTGTAGTACCATAATATGAAAATCTACTCTTTGATCAAAATTGGTATTAATTGAAAACAAATCAATTCAAATTAAATACTAACATATAAAATGGATTAGAAACATTTAAATTTGTCAAATTCATAACTACTTCTAATATCTAAAATATTTTTTCTGCCCACAAACTAAAAATATCATTTGTCCATTCCTTAACTTCAAAAGGCTTTTCTTATTATTAACTAAATAATAAGTACTTAATTAATTTTCTGCTTATAATCAGCAAAATTGTGAAAAATAAATGCTAAAAAGGAAAAATTTCATGTCAAATATTCTATTTTATGCGAAATCATTTTTTTTAAAACTGATTTTGATCTTATTCTGATTTAATTGTTCTGATTTTAAGTTATAAATTTAGTGTTCCATTATATTTTAGATATCCTTCTAATGCATGAATACAGTAATAAAATAAAATTAAGAGTTAGATTTAAAATTTTTTCTTTTAATATGATAGATTTTTATAATTTATCATGCCTATTAAAATTTTATATTAATTAAGGTTACTTCCTTGATACTGTCTATATTTTTAATATCAAACAAAAAACATAAAAATCCCAATGACATATTTTTAAATTTAATATAAATTTAAAGTGCTACAAAACAGGATTAACTCAACATTCTCTTTAAGTCTTTTTTTCTGGAATTAAAAATTGTATAAACTACTGACATTTTTAAAAAGTAGTTTTTAAAATAATTTTTCAAAAATTTTATATTTTAAAGATTGTTGGTATTTAAAATATAATTCAACGTTTTAATTACTATTAGGTTTCACTATTAAAATATGGACTTCATTTCTCATTTTATACTACATTTAAATTCCTATTATTAAGATTTCAGTTTTTTCTGACTGAAAACACATTTTCATATAATTAAATTTATTTATTTAAATAAAGAAATTGTATTCAAATTTATAAGTATTTTAATATGTATATGGTTAGTTTATCAGCATTACCTTTTTTAGTAGGAAATTCAATTTAAATCTATTAGAAACCCATTAAACATTTGTTAAAATTTTAAAATTTATTATAGCTATAAAAGGTTTATTATAATTTCATTTCAGAAGAAATGTAAAAGCTGTTAAAAATCCTATAACGGTTTTATAATTTCATAGCATAAGTCTTTTTAATTTTAAATTTATCCCATTCCTTTGGATTTCAGATTACACTTCCAACTGTACAACATTATATATGTTTAGAAGAACAAAATTAAGCAATGTTATGCTAAAAAAAAATAAAAAAATAAAATTAAAAAAAATTTGAATTAAAACCATCTACCGTAACAAATACTGTACTATTATTAGACAGAAAGGTAGCATTTTTAGGAAAAATTTTCTATTTGAAAAATTTTAAATAATTATTTACTACAAAAAAAAAAAACGTCACAAATTTTATTAGAAAGAAAGATTTTATTGCCAAAACTACCCTGTAAAATTGATTATTTTTATATTAATACTGAAAAAATTAAACTAATCAATAATTGGATAAATAAGTAGGCTAGGCAATCCAATCTATTTTAATTTTTTTTAAATAATACTAGACTAGTAGACTATTAATTTCACTTAATCATTAGAATCTAAAAATTAGACAGTTTTATTTCAAATGTTACTTGAATTTTTTCATTTTTATAAAATTAATTTGAGTTAATATGTAACAAACTTACATGTACTATCTAGCAACAAAATTCCGTTAGCAGTTTGAAATTTTATCTGTAGTTTACATCAGTTCTTTAAATATAAGCATGTTACTGGTTAAAGAGCAACTACTGAATATGATTGGCACCACTAATAAAATGTAAATTTTATCTTTCAATGCTGTATCATATTACAGTTGACCTTGGAATAAATCGCTTGCATTTTTAAAACTTATCCTTTCACAGAAGAAACTTTTACAAATTCGAAAAACTTTTGTTTTATTTTTAATTTTGTGATATTTATTAAAAAATATATATTAATTCATCTATAGTACATTTTTCACGTTAACACTTTCAAATATTATCTTTTTTTATCATATATTTTTTATAACGAATAATCAATTTGATGATGATAAATATGACATCATTGACAATAACTAATCATCAGAATCATTGGCAATTGTTTATCAGAAATTTTATAACTGAAAATAATAATAATTTAATTACTTTAAGCATACAATAGAAAGACCTTAAGTAAATGACTGGAAGAAATATATAAAACTGGTTCTAATCTAACACAGGATAAGACAAATTAAACGTCTATGGTTTTCCCATGCTATCACTTCCGGTACAAGTAGCGCAAGAAACGTACAAATGTAGGAAATTATTTTCCCTTATTCTAATTGTCTATATCATTAAAAGTTTTTAATAAAAAAAATGTGGACTATTATATTCAAAACAGGACTAGAAAAACAGTTTGTAAGTCATGTAATCGTAGATATATCTTTCTTGCTTTATTCAAATTGCTTTCGTTATCTTCACGCTAATGATAGTTGACACTACTTTTCCAGAGTAAATATTTAAAACTGCTGAGACACCACCTTATTTTTGGAAATAGGCCAAGGTCGGTTATTCAACCATCGTCTAGTTTCTTAAATAGTTATAACGAAGATAATAAATGTTTCGTATCATCCTAATTGTAGGCGTGGGAAGCGTTCACTCAACTCGAGCACAGTTCAGTAATTCATTTGAACTGCTATCTTTTCTTACGCATTATAAACCACATGCTTTATCAGTGTATTTAATTGAATTCGCATAACTTAAAATGGCGATAAGCACCAATTTTCCTGTACGTATTTGTTTAGAGAAGCAACAGTATTCAATTACCGAAACGAATTCTTTAAATCAATCGAAGCAAAGAAGAAAAAAAGCTAAGTATTGAAACAAAAGTTCAAATAAAAAAAAATCATCATTATGGAAAACAATTTCGAAAAATTTCTACTCAGAAATTAAGAGAAAAGAAAAAAACTCTAAATTCTGCTTTAAAAAATGTAAAAATAGTATACTAATGAATTAAAGATTAGTGAAGACATTGCTTCCTGTTTATGTAAATTAATAAGTTTCATGTTATATTTCATTCCTAGATATTACTTTTGAAATCTTTTATGAGACACACAAGATTAATTTAGTAAGAGCAGTTAGAATCATAAAAATCTGTTCATTAAAATCCTTAATCCTATTGATTTGATTTCTTTCGTGTAATTCAGCCTCAATACTTTTACCTCATTCAAAGTCCAAATTTGGTAATATCCTTGATTCAAATTTCGTATTATATATAAGTTATCGCCGATTTACATAATGTCGTGAAGGCTATGGTGTCACTTTATGACCTATAAACTTTGACGTAACGGTTGCATTAACAGATTTTTCATATAAAAATAATTATTACGAAGATACATTAGGCGAACCGATATAAATTGTTGCTAATAGATGTTAATGACCTTTTATCATCCAAATTCGAAATGAAAGTAATGGTTATGCTCGGCTGAAGACATTAGGAAAACGTCTGTACTTGACGTCACACGGACTAACCCCTTCCTGCTGACAGCAGTTACTTTTTAAGTCGGGTCAAGCTATCCCAGACATGGTTAACTGTCCTGTTTGAGTTTAAGTAAAATGGGTCAAGACGGAATAAATATACAATGCGTCCATCCGTTACTTCTTTATATATATATGCTTTTTACTTTTTTATGAATAAGCTATATCCATAAAAAAATTCCATAACTTAAAAAAACAGTTATTATGACATAAATTCCTAAAAATAAAATTTTAGCTTAAATCTGATCGTTCAAAAGAAAGAAAAAAAAAATGATAAAACTTGAAATACTAAAAATAGTTTAGCCTATAAGCATTCAAACTCTTTCTTCCTGAAACTATTATATATTTCAGAATGATTTAAGAAAGCATTGTCTTTCTGAAGAACTACCACACATTCTTGAACATCAATTTAACAATTCTTTTCCAGATTTAAGACCCGAGGCAAGGACCATATGTGGGCAGCAGTGAAGATAAGAAAATTCTAAATAACTGCCTGAAAATATTCCAGTCCCTCATCAAAATTTCTTTTTATAACATTAAAATAATAAAACTTTTCACGAAA